GGGGGGGGCTGAGGCAGAGGTGGTTTTATGCCCTGGTCGGCTGGCTTACCGGGTGACATTTTGAAAAGCGCACTGCCCGCTTGTTTCCATATAGAAATTCCAGCGGAAAACAGGATCAAAAGTACCAAACGCGTCTTCAATGTTGTTCCTTGCATATCGGTTCGAAGTTCAGATTTCCTGTTTTGCCCTTGTCCCGCGGTCACAGTAACGAACTGCAGCCTTGTGAAGCTGGAGAAAGCAGTTAAGTCCCTTGTGACCGCTAGCATCGCAGTCTTCTAATGAAGAATGTGTATGAAGATAACGTGCGGCGATGGAGAGAGGAAGGGGGGAGGGGAGGTGGCAGGAGAGCAAGAGAGGACGAGAGAGCAACGGAGAGAAGAGAAAGAGAGAGGGGAGCGGGTTTTAAGAAAATACGGCGCATTCGGGAGGGGGTGGGCGTCTCGTAAAATGCCTGCAGCGCGCCGCGGGGCGTGGGGTGGCTGGCCGGGGTGGTTCAGGGTGGCTCGGGGCGGAGCGGCGCGGGGTGGAGCCTTGCTAAGACTACACAAGGGCTGCAGACGTCAAATGTGTTTTATCGCCTTAATAAACCCCCGCAGCTAGGCAACCCACCGTGCCCCGGGCAGCGCCCCAACCCGCCCAGCCCTGCCCGCGCGACTCACAGCAGCAGCCCCAAGCGGAAAGCGGAGGGCAACGAATCTTGGCCCACAACCACTCTTAATTTTCATTTATATTCTTTATTTCAAAATTTATCGAGCTACGTCAGAAGGCGCAAAAATATAAAATAGGGTATCTCTATCCAGCCTGAATCCAGCAAGGGGTGGGTCTGATGACGTGTCTGATACACCGAACGCGCGTCCTTCCAGTGACTGGTTTCGAATGTCGTTTGGGCGGAGCCGCTTCGAAGATGGCGTCGGACAGGAAATTCCTCTCGCGCTACTGTTACTGCTCACCCTTAGCCTACTGAGAGCTCGACGAGACGGTTTCGCCCCCTCGCAGCCGTGTATCGTTCGTTCGCGAGTGTCCCCGAACGTCCCCCAAAGCTACATAGCTTGGCAAAGATGTAACGGGGGAGATTTAAAATACTTCTCGTAGAAATAACACACTAAAATCGACACATAAGTTCAAATTGATGACCTCATGGCTACTCAGGGTTTACCTTACTCCATCGATGTTCGAGAATCATTTCATTTTGAGAACACGAAAACTTGCCAGAATTGACACTGTTAGGCCCAATCACTATTCCCCTTTTTAACATGACTTGAAAGTGTTCCTTTCGCAACCCTTTAATACTACGAAGCTCAGTTTACAACCTTACGCACAGAACTTCTGGCAAAACTTGTGAATAATGACGATCATGGGAAAACACTCGTTAAGGAGATCGGTCGCCTTAATTATTCCAATGCTGGTAATGAAGAGAGCTTGGGCAGAGCAGACAGGGGCCGACTCTGACGCTTCACTACCATCAATCAAACAAGTTAACGACGGGTGGGAATAAGACATCGGGGGGAAACACACACACACACACACACACACACACACACACACACACACACACTAACTCGCGCAGCCCGGTAGTCATACATTCCACCCCAATGATCGGAAAGTCGGGACACCGCGACGCAACAAAAACCAGTCAGGCGCGTTCCGAGGCGTTAACTGCCAACCGCGCGTCTCAGTAATTCGTAAAACCCTTGGTATTGACCATACTAGCAGCGTTCGTCACATCAAACGCTTTTACAATTGTTCAATGGCTTACATTTTTTCTAACAGTTTGATAAATTTAAAACAAACTATATTTTGCTGCATAACTGCGTTGCGCAATAGACAGCGATTCTTCCACGCCGAGCGAAATATTCGGTAGGATAGCCCAGCAACAACGAAATATAATGCTTTGTTTTCGTCATTTTGTGCTGAGTGGGTTTGTTGTTCGACATAGGGAGCCGACTTCGGCGATCCGGATGAGAAATGGGCAGTTCCATCGAGTCATTCAGTCAGACAGACAGATAGACAGGCAGATAGACAGACAGATAGACCCCCCTCACACACACGCACGCACATATCGTGTCACACGTTCATGCACCTTTATGACTTCATAACGACAGTCGAATGGGTCCGTATAGGAGCAGCGATGAAGACATCGAAAAATCGCTCAGCCATCGGAGTAGCGTCCCACGTACTTTGTAACAGTCGAGCGGAGAGGCAACAACCATTCAGCTCTCTTATATGCTATCTCTGTCCAGTCGTTCGCCGTTGATAGCGACAGACAGAGACGGCGCGCTAAGACGCCCGCAACCATTTCGCCACCGAGGAGGCGGCGTCATTGGGGATGGCGCGAATAAAACTCTCTTTGTGTCGAGTAAAAGTGTTTCAACGACAGCCAATCAAATTATCGCGAGGGGTGCGTTACGTACGATGACATCTTTTGATGGAAAATTTATACTATTTCGCAATATTGAGTTGCGTCGAGGGAAGGGGGCAAGGAAGGGGGGTCGTTTCTCACGGATATCAAGAGCGGCGGCTCGGCACTGCTGCTGGCGACTCAAACGCTGGACCCCCTGGGGTCCCCTCCGTTCATCGCTCTGAGTTGCTCGCACATTGCGAGCCCAACCCAATGGATCACAGCTCCAGTCCGGCAGAATCCATTCCTGAATACTGTCCTTCGCCAAGTGAGGTGCAAGAGTGCGACAGTACACAACGCTAAACAAATAATACCAGTGAGGAGTGCGATTAATTGAAATAGAGTGAGGCTAGGTTTAATGTAGAGTTTCCAGCTCATGCCGTTGGTATCACTCAACGATGCACAGCAGAATGTTTCCTCCAATATTACCCTCTCTCCGTCTCTCCGTCTCTCTCTCTCTCTCTCTCTCTCTCTCTCTCTCTCTCTCTCTCTCTCTCTCGCTCCTCCCATATTTACGATGGCGCAGTTTTACTGCCGCACTGTCCCCGCATTAAGCGACGCGTGCTGCGCGCGCGCACGCATGTGACGAGAAAGAAATACAGAGGGGCCCAAGAGTGGAGAAAAAAATATAAAAATAATGTCGGCTAAAATGAAGCACATGAAAAGTGTATCAAAGGAAACTCCGCGACAGGGCGGCGCGTCTACAAAGTAACGCGTGCCATTTTGTAAGAAAACAAGAGTAAAAATTAATGAATTAAATTTAACAAAATTAATGTAACACTTTAAAATTTTGTATTGAGAGTACACGGGGCCGTTGCCCTCCCGCGTATCAGGCGCGCGCGCGCGTGCATCACGCGAAGCGGCGCCGCGTCAAGGGGAGGGTTGGTGGGAGTGAGGAGGAAACGAAATGAGACGAAAAAAAAAAGAAATGGCCACACTATAAAATTGGCGAAGCCGATTGGCCACGATGAAGTGAGAGGGGTGGGGGGAGGGCGGGTGGGAGCCACACGGGCGATTCGAATAACCGGTTCAGGTCCCACGCCCGGCTGCGCCCGGCCGCCCGGCACAGGAACCTGTTCGCGCGCGGACGGGTCGGCCTGGCAGGCCAGCGAGTCCCATCCTTTACCCCCTCTCCCCTTCCTCCTTTTCCTCCAATCTCCTCCGAGTCCAAGCCCTCTTCAAAGCACAGAACGGCAGCACGACTCTTTTTAGCAGATGATACCTTACAAACATTTTGACTAAACATAAAAAATATGTAAGTAACTTTAAGGTGTCAGCTAGCTTTTACTCTCGATGAGTACAGAGAACCATAAGCGCAGACCAGAAAACAATTTATTTAGCGCTGGGGGGCCGAGTGAGTGAGTGAGTGCCCGAGCGCCCGAGTGTCGCGTCGGTCGCGGCAGGCCCCTGCTCAACAATACTAGGGTCCCACAGCCGCGACTGCCACCCGGTACGCTACCCCCTCCCTCCCCTTTATAATAATGCCTGTCAAAGACGATAAACGAGTGAAACATTTGAAAAATGATGCAAAACCACCACAAACAAAAATCAAACTAGAAAAATTAAAACACAGGTATACTTTAGTATTAAATTGGTATCATCTGCTTTCAAGATAGATTCTAGATTTAGATTTTTTATTTTTTTTATTTTTGTCAATAGGGAGAAAACACAAACTTTACAGGAATGTAAATCTAAAATCAGCCAAATGTTTGACCCTATCCGGACGGCTGCAATTGTTTTGACGCGTGCGAGTAGCGCGGTAACGCGTGTGTTGACAAAAGGCTCCCCGACCATGACGTATCTGCAACTCGCTTTGCATGACAAACGCTCCCTGCTGCCTTTTGTCCATCGTCCTTCCTGGTCAGCAGGTGGATAACACTGCTAAAAAAAATAGAAGAAGGGTATGGGGGCGATAACGCACGACTCACAAATTTTACCCCCAGGTAAAAACAAAACAGGAAACAAAATAAACATTGTCATCGATTAACTCTACTGGATTATAAAGGGGTCCCAAAGCCGCGTGCGGTGCCCTCGCGCAATGTAAATAAGCCGTAAAGTGGAAAAAGGAGCACACTTGTTTCACCAGTGGGTACAAAGTGACAGAGTGGAATTGGCATGGAGCGAAGCGCCTGGTGGGTAGGCAACCACGAGACAGCCGTGCGCGAACCACACAACGGTTGCCTATCCACAGGCGCTATCGCCCGCACTGAACTCACCAGAGGCTTCCACGACAAGCGTTCGGGCTGAAGCGGTTGCGCGTTGGGGACGACGGCGGACCGCGCACGAGCGCTGAAACAGAGGAAACAGGAAGCTGTTCAATCAAAGCAAACCAACACAAAATCATTTGCTAAAAATATAGGTTGGACTAAGATATTCAAAAAAAAAACCAAAATAAAAAACACTTTGGTACAGAAAAAAAATATAAATGAAATTGAAACAAACACGGCGATTTAAATGTGGAATCAGCGATGAACACGTCAGGATGTGTGCCTATAGGGAGTTTTTCGGTTCTGTGTGTTTGACTGTACAAGCTCTAAACTTTCCGCATGCACTGTAAAACATAGAGTGACCTTTCTTTCCCGACTAGAGCGACGCATAGGCTTCATCGCTCTACAACGATTTTTGCGAAATGACTCAACATGAGTCTTCTTCGTAACAGAAAATATCGCAGAAACGACTCTAAACGAGTGACGTTTGCGGAAATGACTCAAAATGAATCTTATTCGTGACCAAAAATGTCGCGAAAAATTACTCCAAAAGAGCGATGTAATTAATATCGCTCTCCCAAGAGTCGTCAAATTGGATTCACAATATCGCTCTATTTGCATCGTATTTGGTCACTCCTTTACTTGTAGTGATGGAGTTGGCCCAACGCCAGAAAATAGATGTTCAACCGAAGAGTCGCACATTACACTGATAAAACAAGTATTCAACTGATTAGTAGTAAGCGTGCAACAACAAGTTAAGCACTTAACACATGAGTGGGAGTGCGGCAGGCGGTAAGCGCGCTGCGCTGCAGCTGCCCGAGTCCCTCATTGCCCCAATAAAGCTAGCGTGCCTTTCCCTCTCGTTCGGGGAACACAAAACACAGGTAACCTGCCGCTCCGCATTCAGCACACGACCAGCGTTCCAGGTCTCCACGGGGAAGAAAAAAAAATGGGACACGCAGAAAAGCGCTTCGCTTGGTGCGAGAAAAAAAAAAGCAGCAGAAAAAGAGCTGGAAGGCAAAAGGTATTGTCCGCCCCGTGGTCCACCTTCCACTTCCACATGTGCTGCACTGCCGTGAGCACCCTCGAAAAATAGAGTAGCCTCAAAAGTAGTCGGAAAATGTTCTAAAAGTGATATTTTAAAGAGACTGGTGATCAGATTGTAGCACAAGAAGGCCCTGATCGCCGTTAATACCGGAAGAAAATTGTACGAGGCGTCATACCATCCACCCCTCCCCCTGCTCCCCCATTCGACCTGTACCATAAACTGCATTTACATCAGCCCCTGAAATGGGCGAGGAGGGATGAGGCACGAAAGAAGAAAAAACAGGGAAACAACTTCATTAGCTGGGCAAAAGTAGCCAGACCGAGACGTTCCACGGTAAAAACGCATTTTTGTGAGTCGTGAACGTAAGGCATCACCGACGAAAGCAACACAATCATTGAAAAAGGAGCTACAAAGTGAGCAGCACGTGATTTGTGGTTTGCACGGCAGAAGTGTCACCTTACTTCTTATCATCGGTGACGAGCGGCCGGCGTGGCCGAGCCCCCTCCGCCGACCATTAAGCGACTATTAACACATTATAAAATCCTGAACGGAGACATTATGGCTCAATGACCGTACCGAGTTTATAAAACCGAAATGACTGCTCACCTTGGTAAGAAAAGGGACAGTAACTCCTACTGCGCCGTTACGGCCCGTGAAGGGCCTCTCTCTCTCTCGCTTCCTCCTCGTAGAGCGCTGCTGCCCGCACTCGCGCGCTCTTCGTGACGAATATGGAGAAAGCTCCACGCCCGAGCGGGCCCGCGCAGCCCCAGTCGGAATAAGGTGAAAGAGTCGCGGCTTTTTCACTAGTTTATGAGTCGTAAGTACACCGCGACAGTCTGTCCTGCCATATGAACTCTGTTGGACGGAAAAGATGGCAACTGCAAGGAAGGCGAGGAAAGCGAAAGTAGTGGGGCTATAATAATAATAATAATAATAATAATAATAATAATAATAAGAAGAAGAAGAAGAAGAAGAAGAAGAAGAAGAAGAAGAAAAATTATTACTTCTTAATTTCTATTAATTGTTTTATTGTTATCATTATTGCAAGTGTTCGAGGTACCATCGTCCTAACGTTGAAGCTGCCGCCATCTTCCACTTCGCCTTGCTACAGCTGCAGCATCCTCACCGACGCAGAGCGCCGTTGCCACATCGCTCCGCCATCTGCGCGGCCCAATCCCCTTCCCCTTGACTCCTTCCCCTCCCCCCTGCACTTCTTTTATTCCTCTTGGTTTTCTTTGTCGCTCCTCGTCCTTTTCCCCTCCGTTTGCCGCCTCCCCTGCACACCCCTCCTGGAGAGGCGCGCCGAGGAGAAGTCTGTCTGAACGTCTGTAAAAGCTTCGCGTCGTCCGGGTTCCGCCGGGGTCGTTGTCTCGGCCGGAATCTGAATGGACCCCGACGACGGCGACGTCGACAGCGGCCGACCGTCTTTGCATCGCATTATTTGGCGACGACAAAAATGCACGTCGCGATGCCGCCCTGCAACTTTGTTGCATCTTGATGTCTCTGTCAAGTGATTTACCGGCCGAGGGGGGTCCAGCCTTATCTCGGCGTCCGGAGGAGGAGTTGGCGTCACAAAGGGACACAACACGTATCGGCCGTTTAGGATGACGGATGTGTCGCTCCAGGTGCGAGCGAGGCGCGTTCGCGACGCCTCCGTGTGCGCCAAAATGTATCTCATTCACCTGGAGGAGTGCCGCGGTCTTTCGGTGTGTTAGGCTATTAGCTAAGGAGCCTCAACTTCAGTCAAGAGTCAAGCGTGACGAACGGCATGCATGCATGCATTCAAGGACCGACGCGGAACTATTCAAGGTAGAGAGTGACCATTCGGCGCAGTGACGAGACTTTGGGGAGGTGGCGATTACTGCCGTTCTGTTTTCTACCGGCACTCATGCCGCCGCAGTGCAAAAACAGTAAAACAGTGCTTGACTATGAGAAGCAGTTCAGCAGAACGTTCTAGCTATCCACGCAGCTGCAGTTGAAACTGAATTTTCGCTGTAGTTCTAATTTGAAACAACGTGATCAGAGGCAAGAGGCAAGCACCAAACTAACGACGGTTCACATTACAAAATGTAAAATGAGCGCAGGGTTCTTGTGTGACTGAACTTTCACTATACGCAGTTGCTGGAAGAAAGACTGACCAACAGATTTATATCTGTAGATTGGTTGTCCCGGCGGCCCTAGAGGTCATTATCATGCACACAAGGTCGTCTTCTACAGGGCGGCCCGCCCGGATTGGTCATCAAATCAGAGAGGAGAGGAGATAGGTGAGGCTCCAGTTTATGACGCGCCGCCAATCAGCTCTGAGAGGGTGACGCTGCTGCTGCTCGGCGTCCCGGCGCGCGCTTTTCAAATCCCGCGATGGATGCCTTTTCAGAGAGGGGGGCTGCATCGGTCGCACTAAATCAATCAAAATTATCCAGCCGGGTTTCACGCTAAGCGACTGACTCCAAATTAACTTCACTTAGTGTGCAAGTTTTACTTTGCGAAGCCGTGTCATCTATTTATGTAGTTGTACACAGTAGAAATGTTTCACCACTGTCCCTACACATTCAAAACATTAATCTGATGCGCCCTCGGTTCGCAACACCAGACCTTCGAAAGACGACTGCTCACTGGTCTGCGCGAAAGTGCGCGACAGGCAAGGGGTACTCATAACCATAACTGACCAAGGTGCGCCAGAGCGTTAATTCGCAATGGTCAACAAGACATGCAAACGTTTGTACGCGTTACTGTACTTGTACACACACACACACACACACACACACACGAGGGGGTGGGGTAGTCGGCGTCGCAACCCTGGTAGGCGTGGGTGGGTGGGTGCAAGAGAGTGAACGGAGACAAGAGAGAGAGGAGGGGAGAAGGGGATGAGAGAGAGAGAGAGAGAGAGAGAGAGAGAGAGAGAGAGAGAGAGCGAAAAGAGGGGATGCGTCCGGTCGATATGAGGGCCACCGCTCCGCCCTCGCCTCAGCGCGAACCGCGCCACCCCCCGCACCGCCCCCGCCCATGCAGCTTTCAGCGGAGCGTCTTGCGTTTATATGGCCGCCATTACTTTTGGCAAACATGAATTCTCCATCGATTCCGACTGAACGCACATGCAGGGGGAGGAGGCGGCGGTGGGCCCCGGATCCCCGCCGCCCCTGCAGGGGGTTGGACGCGAGGCGGGCGCCCGCAAGCAGCAAGCAGCGAGGGAGGAGATGTTTTCAACATAATTCGCCAGAACTGTAATGTCAAACAACAACAGCACAAAGAAGGCCGGGCAAGGCGAAGAGGCACGGCCATAGGATCGGCCAAGACGCGTTCCGTCCGCACAAACCATTATTTTGCCGAGTACAAAATTGGCCGGGCATAGCACAGCAGCCGGGCGCAATTGCAGCCGACGCTTGCAGCAACAATGCCCCCCATTGTTGTCGATGTAATGATGGACTAGCAAGGTGCCCATTGGCTGCCGCTGGTCAGACAGACTCGTCTTATTCTTGTTTGGCTGTCGGGCAGAGCGCAGCTCGGGCTCAGCCAGCTCCGCACCGAAGCACAATCGACGAAATGCACTATATATTCATGTGCCATAAACTGGGATTTCGCGTGTATTTTCAGCGCACATCCTTCTAGGGGCCCAGAAAAATATTCCATAGGTGCCTGTCAGACAATTAACACAGCGACCTTTTAGAAAATAAAGTTACGAGGCAGCCTTTCGCACGTGATCCTGCAGGCACTTTATTTCGGGCTCATGCTGCACAGCATCGACTGCGCAAGAAGCAACTGCACCCCCCCCCCTCCCCACTCTCTCCTACCCAATACCTCTCTCCTTTTCCCCCCTCAGGTGTGAGCTTCATTACGCTCCCGCCATAAAAGCAGCAACATTGTGTGAGGCAGCTCCAGCTCCACAATGCAGCCAACACCCTTATCCTGGACCAAATCCCTCCCACCCCGCTCCGCCACGCCAAGCCACGCCGCCCTGCAGACCTCACCTGTAATATTTCACCACGCTTTCAAGGAGGTCTCCCCCTGGCAACCCGAGACGCCATATTTCACACTCT